TCATCGTTCAAGAAAAGTTGCGCGAGTAATACTACTATTACTACTACTACTATCAAAATCACTATCACTTCTTTCACTGTCATTTTCTCCTGAACTGTATCGATCATACTTTCCATAGACAGTTTGCCGATTTACAAGTTTATCATTAAAATGGAGGAAGTCTTTAATTTCAAAATCCATTTTTAACTTCTCCCATGCAGAAATAAGTTTGTATCTTCTTCTTTCTCTTCTTCACTTCATCCTCATATCAGCTTTTCGAAAGCTGTTGTAGATATGGTATTGATTTACATCCCTTCCAATATCCCATCCCTTTGCAATATAATGCAATGTGTTGCGGATAGATATATTAAATGTCATTGTGTCCTTATCTGACTGCTTAAAAATCAAATAATCTCTGCACATTTTTTCTGTGGAAGGTCTTCAAAGACTGGTATAATTCTATGCCTAAATTCATTTGCTGTAGCTTGCTTATGTATTTTTCTGGCAAGAATTCAATTGTAATATTTTTCAAGTTCATTTGCTTTGGGTAATCGGAACACTTTCCAAGAAATAAAAGAATTCTTTGATTCTCTGTTTCTATCTTCACTTCAGGAGCTTACATTGCCTCTCAAAAGGGTCACAAGTCATTCAAGCTTTTTTATTTGCCTCATATTTTGTGACAATGTTTTCGTGTTCTTGAAGCATTAAGGTGTCTTGGGCTTTACTAAAACAAATGGGCAAAGCTTTCTAGAACCAACGGCATTCGCTCCCAACATCACAGTAAGCCTAAGTTTTTTGTTTCTGTCTCCAAGGCAATTCTCGCCTTTAAAAGTGAAAGCTTTGCTCAGAAAAAAAATATTGGACTGGTTTCATCTATGTTGAAGATTTCCTTAGGTGAATACTCCACAAAATCTATCGGATTTCTCTCTTACCATTCCTGAAGATTTCTGGTGTGCCACTTCCGTCTCCATGTACAACCTTATAAACAAATAAACCTTTAAGGCTTTTTGAATCAATCACCCCAGCTATTAGGCATGAAGGTCTTAACGTAAAGCTTATATACCACGTTTTGGGCTTTTTCACGTAACAACAAGCCACTCATGGGAATGTTTGAAGCATGTGTCTTGAACCAGTTTTTCAAAATTTCCTCCAACTTTATATACTTTGTGTAGCTGGCAAACCCACATTTTAGCTAAAGCAACATTTGTTCCTTTTTAGTCTCCAACTTCCTCTACAATTTTGGATTTTTCTTCATTAGAAAGACT